CACACACTACATGATCACCTTCAAGTGGACTTCTTTGTTGCATTCTAAATTCTTGACTTTATGAGTCAAGACTAGCCTACTCTGTAAAGCGCATAAAATATGAAAAATTAAAAGAATTGTTGTAATTTAAACACACAGTAATGAAATGTTTAGAATCACTAGCTTTGAGATAAAGCCCCAAGGTTTTGCAGCTATGTCATAATGTGTCTGAACAATCAAAGTTATCGTTGAATCACACATTTCTTATTAACCCATTTCTTCACTGCTTAAAAATTTGACAGTAGAAAAGTGATCGTGGTTCCAATTAAGCAAATAAAAGCTTTAAACGAGTTGTTCTGTGGTGAGCTTAGTGGGAGCCACTATCAAAAAATACACCGATTATGGGGAAAAAAAAAATTTTCTGTCTTGCTCTTATAATTTTGCTTTACATTTGCTAACAACTTAGCGCTCGAGAAAAAAAATAATAAAGAGCAGGAAAATATCTGTGTGTTATTTGTATCAACATCCTCGTTACTTACTGCATATGCATATATAATGGCTTGTGTCAGGTGAAATATTTCTGGGAGATGGTACAAATTACCACTCCAGCAATAGGACACAACCCAAAATACGTACCATGACGAAATCTGAGAACAAAACAATCTTTTGACAGACACTGGCATTTTTAATTGCAAAACACACAATGGACAGACGACTTCTGAGTCGGTGCTCATGTTCTTTTTCCACACACATATTAAAAAAATACTTGTGTGATGGAATAAATGCTTGTGACACAGGCATTACGGGAAAAACAGCTCACAAGCACTGAACTGTAAACAAGCAAGTTAATCCCTTATTTCTCACCTCGTTTCCTGTTCCAGTCATGTGCTTCCTCTAAGCAATCAGGATCATAATGGTATTGTCCATGTTTATAAAAGTAATCATCAGTACTAAGAATGATTCCACCTGGGTTATCCTCAAGCAAAGTCCTGTGAAAAGTCAAGAAGTAAATAGCTTTTCCCCTTTTTTCTCCCCAGCCCTGCTATCTGCTACCATACATGTATGCATTTAGTCTCTTGCACAAAAGCAAGATTATATGGAATGGAAACAGCAAATTTAGCTAAGGTAAAAACCACCCTCCGGGCAAAGACGATCTATAATAATTTCGCTCTGTTTCTAAAGGCTGAGGACATCTAGGGGAAAGAGCTGACAGAGGTTCCCTGGAAGTGTCATTTCAAAATAAGAGGAGATATTTGTCCATCTACATCCACTGACACACTTTCACACTGACAAATATGATCTTAATTGCACCAAATATTTCAGGTGCCAGTCAGAGGAGTCTAAACTCAATCTAGGCTTTTGGAGATTGAGAAAAGAAATCAAGAAGTGAACCCAAGGAGCTCCACACATACTACTTACACAAAAGAATCCCAAGAGTGGAAGGGGAATTTCTACCTATCAAGAGCTGGTGTATATCCATCCACGTTATTGGAAGGAATCACCCAGAATGAAAAGAGACTGGAAGAACACAACAGACCTAATGATCTGCCAACATAAACTCCTTCAGCCAGTGACAGAAGTTGAAGTTCACCCCCTCCTATGTCCATTTGCACTAGATGACAAGGAGCTGCAAGAAACTCATGTCTCTGCCATTATTACTACTCATTACGCTGCACGTACCATGTAGCTGGCAATTAGGGTATAAGCCTAACTATTTACAAATGTCAGGAAACTGTCTCTGCCTGCACTAAATCCTGTACATAATTAAGCAATTTCTTTTAGAAGCTCACAGTATAGATGTTCTACCTTGCCAAATACGATTTTCCTGATCCTGGAACACCTCTGAGAAGAACAAGTACTTGACCTATAAGGTGCATCTTTTTTCTCATCATGTGACAAACAGGTGGCTGCTGTGCTTGCGGGAGGTTCAATTTTGAGTTTCTATCTTGATTTCCCCATACCTTCAGAGAAGGGTTGCTATCCCAGGCATTTGTAACCACTGGAGAGTGGAAAAAAAGTCCTTTTTCCGAAGTCCTATAGTCTGAAACAAGTCTCCACTGCCCCGGACTGACAGCCACAGGAGTCACAAAACTGTGACTTCCACTGGGTGGATAAAACGCGGGAGCCATGAGATTCCAGTGTTGTTGAGGCTGACAGGATGGTGTAGAAAATAAGTTATAACCCTGCTGAGTTTGCTGAAAATCTGCAGGTTTGCGTGTTTTGAAACCAGATGTTTCAAGAGAGACAAAGGCCTCTGGAAGCGAAATGTTTTGGTGGCTGTTAAAGGCAGTCACTACCTCTTCGTGCTGTTCCAGGCACCCTGAATTAGGATTTCCAGTAGCAGTTACTCCAAGTTCCAGAGGTCTTTGGGAGGACTCACCAGAAGCAGCAGTCACACTTTTCTGATCCAAAGCAGTATCCTGTGTCCATTCAGAATTTCCATATGGTATTTCTCCATTTAATTCTTCATAGACTTCTGAAGCTACATCATGCTGAACATCTGACAAATCAGATTCTTCCAGTATCTGTGCAGAAGTGTCTGATGCAGCTTCTGAGCTTGTCTGGACACTCAGCTGACTCACCGGTGGCTGAGAACAGCAGAAGTTTTCTAAAACCTCATTAGTTGTCCCAGCTTGCTGTGGAAAAAGTAGGACATCGCAACCCAAATCAGTTTTTTCCCACTCGGGAAATTCATAAAAGCCATCGTGTTCCATGGAGTGCTCATGTACTATTTGGTCATTTGCAGAATTAGGCAATTCATCTCTTAAGCTGTGTCTCTGAAAGGCATTTTCTATTAAATAATCCAGTTCTTCAGTCAGCTGCACTTCAGGCGATAGGACTTCCTCAGAATTACTTTGCTCTGCAGTACTTTCCCCCATTCTTTCATTTGCAACAGATCTTTGCTGATTAACAAGGGCTTGTGATGATGCTGCTGAATTAAAACCCACGGCTTTTGAAGATGCTATTCCTTTGGCATGGGTGGACAGCTCTAGCAGATAATCCATAGCATTTTCTACTGTTGAATAAGGTAAACAGAATAAAGCATGGTCAACTGAACAAACACACAAGCTGATGTGAATGCAATTTTTTTTTTACTTGAAGGAATATTTATCACAACTACAGAGACAACCAAAAGACAGTTCACCAATCTTTTAACACACCTTCTGCAACTCCCTTGGTCTGCTTCTCATTAGATGTAAAGGCAGACTTCAGTACAAACATACTGCAAAATAGTAACCCAGTAAGCATAAAAATTACTAAGGAAATAGTGTCTGAAAATTACTAAGTTTAACTGAAAAAAGAAATCCAAACTCTGTGTTTAAACAGATACTTTTTTCTAACCTTTCTCATATAGGCAAAATAGTGTAAAATGAACTGAAAACCAGCACTGTGGACTGAAGACATTAAGAGTATGAAAAATATGTTCAATATGGCTAGGGCCAATGGAAAAATGTCATACCTAATATAGCCTTAAAAATCCAGTATCTGCATTAATGCTTTGTAAAGCCACTAAATGGAGTGTAGGTTGCCTGTGATCAACATGAACAAAACGAAAACCTGGCACAAGTATCATCAGAGCTCTAAAGCTAAGCTTCTGTTTTCTTGAAAAGACAGTGTAGCAAGAGGTCTAAGTCCACTGAAGTCCAACCCTTTCCGCACACGTTAAATAAAATCTGTCCTGTCCTTCCATCTTCTTGACTATATGACTAAAAAGTTGCTGTCATATGAGATGATACTAATCTTTCAATTTTTAAACTACTTTTAATAATACAACACAATAATGAACTTAGTGTGTTTACTGAATTCTAGATAAATCTGTTATTTTGATAAAGGTAAATCTTAGCAAACGTTCAAGGCAAGAATCAGTAATTCTATCAATTTCGATCTTAAAAGGAGTAACAATCATAGCAACAAATGTGAGACAGCTGTTCGGTTTTAAACTCTGTACAATTCAGACAGGGTAAAAACAGCAATAAAGCAGTCCTTTTTGTGACTATCTAGCTGTCATACATATAAAAAATAATGGCCAAACTCTGCCTTCTTTGTAAATAGTCTTAGAAAAATCCCAGCTAATCACACCTGATCATATGAATACTGATTGATTAAAATGCCCCATATTCTTCTGCCAAATAACTCCTCAGATGTTGCTAGCCAGCATCTCATCCGTTACTTTTATTTTAAGCAAGTGAACATGTATATACAAGAATTTCAAATCCACAAACACACGGGAAGGACTGGGCAGAGACATGACAACAGTCTGTCAGGAGAGGTGGGTATGTAGCTTGGCAGAATACAGGGCAAGAAACAGAGTCTGAGCGAGGCTGCACAGAATTCAACATGACAAAATTTATCCTGCAAAAACTAACCCTCAGTAGCGATGACAAGATGACAGTGCAAAATAGAAAACAAAACAAAAGCTCAAATCAAGTATCGATGGAAAAGCAAATGCTGCCAGGAACACATAGAGCGCACCACACAAAACAAACAAACAAACAAAAGCTCAAATCAAGTATCAACGGAAAAGCAAATGCTGCCAGGAACACATACAGCGCACCACTGCCTTTAAAAATTGTGATATAGAACATAATATACCCCTTCTGCAGAAACAGGTTACGCTTCTGGCAGATAGGGCACAGAAACTAATTGGAAAAACCAGATTTGCCTCACAACTCTTACCACCACCTGCTCTATGTCACAGAACAAGCCACTTGAACTCTAACTCCATTTATGGAGCACACTGCTACTGCAAATTATCAGTCTCACCGAAATTGTCAGATTTGGAGAATCTTGCATGGAAAGAGCTATAAAATTTCAAAATATTATGACTCACCTACTCATTAAAAGCTAAACTCACAAACATGCCTGCAACACCCACACCAACTCTGCTGGAGTCGCCCTAGGTAAGCGCTGCCTGTGTATGGAACACCACTGTAATGTCAACCGTACGTCATTTACCTTTAAAATCGCATTCGGAGAGAACCATATAAACCACACTAGGATCCAGGTCAGAAAACATTTCTGACATGCTGTTGAAGAGCTCTTCCTTACTGACACTATGCGCTGCTTGTGACACTGAGCGGCTTGGGTGACCCCAGGATAGAGCAACAGCAGTTCTGTCAGAACTGCCATTCTTCGGAGCAGGACTCCCACCAGCTTTCCTTCGTCGCGGCATTTTGTTTTCTAAAAAATCAGCTTCTCTTTCTTTTTTGTTTGTTCACATCAGGCTGACAGTGCCCAGCTCAGGAATCACAAAACGCCTCTCACAACTGGGATACACATAACAGAAAGAGCAGACCTGGAAAAAAAGAGAACAGAGAAATGTTAAGAAAATTCACAGTCCAATTTCCATGTCTCCTATCTTCACTAAAAGATTAAAAAATACTTAAGCACCCAGGAAAGCATTTTCTAGCAGGCTGCCTTTCTTCTTTTCAAATGGCTGGCAGCTAAATAGCAGCCTTATTTTCCAGCTAACTAGATACTGAATCCATGTCTGGAAGAGAGAATAAATAAAATGGATTTTAAGAGAAAAATCCAGAAAAAGTAAAGGAAGCAAGGCAAGGCAGCCAGTACATGAATGTTCCTCTGTTAACACCTACTGATGACCTCTTAATATTATGCAACACACATACTCTGCTAAAATACAGAAATTTTACTCCTCTTAAGAAAGTGCTGGGAAACATAACAGACCTCTCCAGATCTTCCAAAAGTCCTTCATGAGTTGTCACTACACCCCTCCCCACCCCCTATTTTTTAAGAGTAAACAGTTGAGGTTCTTCAATGTTCAGACACTGGCACAAGTTGCCCAGAGAGATTGTGGAGTCTCCAACCACGCAGATCCTCAAAACCTGACCTACCATGGCTCTGAGCAACCTGCTTCAGGCGACCCTGCTTGAGCACATGGGTTGAACCAGACGACATCCAGAAGTGCCTTCCAGCCTCAGTTGGTGTGGGGCTGTTTTAACCATTAAGAACATGTTACCACTTGATAAGCCATAAGGCGATAAGAGGCTTCTGTCTACGCTCCCACTTCTGCCATAAAGCCTTTGAATATATCTAGTTAAAACATCATGGCATCTATAGTAATTGCCATTACTGCATTAATCTTGTACAGAAAAGTGATTCTTAATTAGAGTACAAACACAGAGTATGGTGTGATCTCACTTTTTTCTTTAAATAATATCAAATAACATCAAAGCTCTGTTGTGTTCTAGTGATGCTCATAATAAACCAATGTATAATTTTTACAAATAATTACTCAGAAGACTAGCAAACCTTGGTAAGGCTGAGAATCTGAATTACAACAAAGAGTCACTATTTGGTGATAACAGTTACTGACTAGGCCATAAAATACCTGTTTCTATACAAAGAGCATTTTGCCAGTGATGACCAATTCAACATGTGCAGAGAAATCAAAGGCAGCATTCCCAATTTCACTCAGTCCTACCCTCCTTGTATGATTGGTACACAAGTGGCAATGTCAGATCAGTGCCAGATTTGGAGAGACCTTCTCCGTTACTCTCTAGCAATCTCTTCCAGCAACCAAGAGAAGCATCATTTGGAAGAGGACAGACTGGTACATTCCCAAGGCACAGGAATTTATGTAGGAAAAACAGACAAATCCAGGATGCCAGGAGTTTCTACCATATATATATATGGACCTTAGACAGGCAAATGAGACGGATGTCTGAAACAATGAAGAGGTCATGGCAGTCTGAAATGCAGGACAAGGAAAACGATACACAGGAAAAGGAAGAAGCCTTTATTCCAAAAATAAAGGAGTAACAACAGTGGAAGATGCTAGTTAGCCACACTGAGCTGGAACAATCACTGCTGGTTTTTCAATTACACTTTTTTTGGTTCACCTCTCTGATTAGCCATCCTTACACCATCTTTACTGTCATGGAAAAGTATTCAAGCAAAACAACTTTAAAAAAAGTTATAGGAAGTCATGTTTTTTTCAAATTCATATTTCTAATGGATTCATCCTCCAGCCAGTAAAGCAGGTCGAGACCTAAGTCCACACAATGCGTCAGTGCTAAACAATGTGACTGTTGCTCACCAGAACAGGTTCAGTGACATGGAAAAGATCCTGCAAGGGAAAAAGGTACTCACGCACCCTGATGTTACTGAACACCAACAGTCTTTAAGCAGAACACTCCAAGTGCTGTCAATGTTTTAATCCAACTCTCTTACAACAGTCAGTCCTGGAAAGACCTGCAGCTGAAAAACACGCTCTGTAGCTACGACAAAACTATCGATCGCCTTACTTCACTATAGGGTATTGCCTTCCCAACGTATTCCCTGCATTAGGCTGTGTATCCCGCTATGTATCAGGATGCCTTACTCTAATGACCTAAGGAAGTCACACACTTCAGTCTGCATGAATCTCAATCAGCAAATTTACACTGCATTGCTTTGGGATTATTGAGTCCTAAGGTGTTTATCACAACTAATCACGGAAGGGAAAAGACATCGGTCACGTCAGAACTCACACACAGGTCAAAACTCGGGTGACTTCTGCTACAATCACGAATGCTAAGGCAGTGCAGAGGTCCACGTTTTGTCCCATGTCTCCCTCCAAAGTCTCAGTGAAACTGTTGAAATTGTTAAACCTATCAAAAAGATAGATCACCATTGCCCAGGATTTCTTTTAAATAAGGTATTTACCATGGCCAGTATTGCAGACACATATTTTCACAGGATCTCCTTTGTTTACCACAGTATTTTTAATTAAATTTCTGGGCAGATTCCTGGACATGTTCTGTTGGTATTACCAAGCACCATGAAAGTATATATAAATAGATGCCTGCGCACATACAAAGCACACTGAGTGTGCTACGTAAGAGGTAATACTAACAAGCTCAACTAAAAGGAGTCATTTTCACTTGCTTTTAAGAGCATGCCCTGAACTTTACAGAGGATTTTATGTAGAGACTTGCCTTTTCAGATATACAAGCTTCTCTTTTTGAAAATTAGTTTACTGTGAAAGAGGAAAAAATTTTGAATAACTCAATAGTCAGACTTGCAAGTCAACTATATTCATTGGTTCTGGATAACGTAATATGAATCAGCCTGTAGTTTGCTGTGGATGAGGGTTTGTTCTTTCCCCCCACCCCCAAGATGAAAATGGAGTTGTAATAACATAATGATTTCGAAGAGCAGGGCTGTGCTGAACACACTTAAAGGGAATTCTAGACAATTAGGCAGGGGTTGCAATATACTCAGAGGTTCGCTAGTCAGTTCTGGGTACTGTGGCTCAACACACATCCAATTAGAGCAAACAGCTGTTTCATTTCAGCACTAACGAAAAACAGTACTCCTGGGGCAGTCTCAACTTCACCTTTAAAAACAAAGTGAACCAAAATCCACCAGAACCTCTTCACTCACAGTTGTTCACAAATACAAACCTCCTGACATTAAGGATCTCCTCTCAGTGTAATTCAACCACCACAAACAAGCACATACAAAAATCTGCCCATATGAAAATTACCTTTCAAACTAATCAGCCTGACAAATAAGAGAGAGAGATAGTAAGGTGCTGCATTCTCTACAAAATAAGGTAATTTTCAAACCTAGGCAAGAAAAAGTAGACTTGTCAGGTCAGGGTGCTTTAACATCATCATCTTCCTAGCTGACCAGAATTTATTTCTGATGGTAGATATGAGCCTCAGGTGTTGCTTGTTCCACTACTACTACCCCTAAGGAGCTAGATGGATGCATCACAGATGTTATGCAGGCACAGACAGACATAGCCAGCGATCAGCATCCCTTACAGCACAGCTAGTCGCTACAGAAACAGGCAGTCAAGCTAACACAACACATTTTTCTTTTCTGTTTGACAGACAGAATAATAAGTGTAGAGAAGTGGCTGACATGGCACAGCAAGAGGATGGACCAAAATCTCAAGTTTCAGTCCCAGGACCTTACTAACAACATTCAGCGTTCCTTTCCAGTGAAAGGAAAACCAATCATTTCATAAACTCGTTCTAAAAATGTGTATATAATTCCCTAGGGGAAAGAAAGAAAAGGTAACACATGTTTTCTATAAATACAAAGTGACTGTCAGTTTCACAGAAAAGGAAAAATATGCAAGTTCCGCCCCCCGAATCACAGAATCTTTCAGGTTGAAAAAGATCAAGTCCAACCACTAACCTAACACTGCCAAATCCAGCACTAAGCCATGTCCCTAAGTACCACACTATAGGCCTTTTAAACACCTCCAAAGGTGGTGACTCAGCCACCTCCCTGGGCAGCCCGTTCCAATGCCCAACAACCCTTTCGGTGAAGAAATTTTTCCTAATATCCAACCTAAACCTCCCCTGGCACAACATGAGGCCATTTCCTCCTGTCCATTTTTGTACTCTCATAACTAAAGTGATAAACTAATTGATGGAGCATTAGAGTCTTAGGAAAATGTGTAAGAAAATTACTCCATAAAGCATGGAGTGAACTTAAATCTAAGAATTTCCTTGCAGACACATGTTCCAAAAGGTTACATTTTATTGTCATTAATACAATTGTCCATAGAAGAAATTAATCCAAAATATTGGGAGTATAATAGTCATCCTTATTCGACTCCTCACATTAAGAGGGAAAAAAAAAAACAGGCTGCAACACAGCAAAGCAAATTGTAACTTTACTTTGACTGAATTGCAGGTTGTCCTCAGAAAAATTCAAAGCATACTCTTTCTTATGGCACACAGTCTAAAGTCAAAACGTTTAAACCATCCAAACAAGAACCTTAGAGGGAGGGAATCCCTGAGACTGTCCAAAACCAAATCTGCTATTTTTAAAAGGTCTAAGGTTTCATTCATGTTAGGAAATAATTGCCAACATAGACCTGTCATACACAAGCCATCACACTGCTAACCAGCACTGTTACATCAGCAAACCTGCTGTAAGAATTCTCCTAGAATGTCGGCGGCGAAGATAACGGACTTCTAACAACTCTGTAAGAGTTATAGGCAAAGCCGTTTCCTCAAGACATCTACACACTTTTATCTTTCCTGGTTTAAACTCATTGACTCCTTTTCTTGCCCATGCGCTGACCACGTGCCAAAAACTGATTGGTGGAAAATGCAGGCAACTCCCCTTAGACCTTGTTTTGCTAATTGCAAGGACGCAGCCAGGTGCCCACAATTAGGCATTACTTCAGGGCATGTCCACATTCTT